TGAAGAAATAGTGGAACAACTAGAAACAACTGGAAATTGAACAGGAATGACAAAATCTTCTATTTAACTTAACAAACACATTGACGTAATTAGAGATTATATGCAGTTGGCATGAATGGTACAGAACATTTTCTAGCAGCAACTTACAGGTCGTATTGGCCAAGTCCTCCATGGTCCATGCTCTCACTTAATTGTCCCTGTAGAGGGGAGGGGTAGAAGACAGATCAGTTATAATGTAAGCAAAAGCAGTGTTAAAAATAAACATAGCGATAGGTTTTACAACTTTGTAGGTTTTGGTATCATTAAACTAACCCAAATGTTGGAGTAATGAATTATTACTAGAAGATACAAATCTATAAAATTCTGCAGGAGAGCTGCAACATTTTTTGCATCTCAGTGATGCGGGGAACCACTGTTTTACCCGACTGCATTGGTACTCCATTTCTTTAATATTAGAGATAACAATTTCACTTCCTTCTCCTCGGTAGTTTGAAAAATACTAGAATGCTGCATTTAAATACTTTTTACACATGTAAACACATGTACACAGATTCACATAAACTAGATGCACATAGTCAGAATTCACATAAAGAAGAAACAACCAACTGAGAAGGCTTTATTATTATATATTGATTATTATCTAATCCCAATAGGAACAAACTAACTAAACTTTACTCTGATGATAAACACTTCTACTGATCAATAATCATTCAGAAAGATCAATGCAAGCAAATAAAAAGAAGGCTCAAGCACTTCAACAGAAGGACTAGGCACCATTAAAGACTGCAGTTAAATTCTGAAGAGATATTTTCTTAAAAGAATTTTTGACTTGACCCCTTATGAAAGGCAAGATAATATCTCCCTCTTTAATTACAGTTCTACATGGCAAAAAGAAGTGCAAACCCAGCAGACAGCTGGAATGAATACAAATAGAATTCAGTGGGCAAACTTATATGGATATAAAGAGACTGTAAGTTTATAAGAAGTGGTCTGAACTCTAAGGACTGAGTACAGTTTTGATGACTGACTTGTGCAATTCACAGAGAATTAGAAGAAAAAAGAGATATAGAGATCTGCAAAAAAGGAGGCCAAACTAACAAGGACTTTTTTAATATATTATGCAAATGACAACACTAACCAAGGAAAATTATGAATTTTCAATAGCTTCTAAACGAAGTAAATACTAAAGCTCACAGAGGCTGGTTTATTTTGGTGGTTAAGCTGGAAGGGAATTTAACTTCTGGTTCCTCCTCCCAACGCCACCAGCAATTACAGAGTCCAAAAGTTCAAGTCAGTTTCCAGGTCAGAAAGTTGCCAGCTCATGTCCTCTTGATAACATTTATTAGAGAAGCCAGGCTTATTGACATCTGTTTCACAATAAAACCCACTAAAACTGCCCCTGACTCTAGCTAGGTGACCAAAAAAAAAAAAAAAAAAATCAAGTACCATTACACTTGTAGATCTTTGTCCTTCTTGAAGTTACCTGTTGGTTCTGACAAAGTTTGCACATGCTACTCATACCCTTGTGAACAACAGCCTTCATTGGCAATATGAACTGAAGCAAATTCACTTCAGATGCCATCCCACTACTTGCAAAGATTTTTTTCTCTTGTTAACAAGAGAACTGGAATGGCATTCTGGTTAGCAACCCTTCAGGGCGTAGCTATTGTTTCATTTACTATAAGAAACACGTAAATGTTGTTTTACTTGGTGCGATAACCAGTGCAAACAACCATGTGGCTTACGAGTACCCTCTCCACCTAACACGCATTCAGTTTTTCCAGACCGGCCCTGCCTGTGTGAAACTCCAACTGCTCCGTCCTCGAGGCCGTGAGGGTTACAGCTCTCGGGAGCTGCAAGGGTCCAGCTCCAGGCAGGATAGACGAGATAACCCTGATTTCACCCCGAGCTCACTTTCAGTTTAATGGTGTCAACCTCCCACTCTGCGATGTCTTTGGAATACTCAAAAGAAACACATAACACCTGCAGACATAGGTTTCTGTTAAACATTTTTCCCCAGAACACTTTTCTGATGCTTCCCCTTCTTTCTTGCTCTTATATTCTCTGCTTTCTGCTTCTATTTTAATTTTAAAATTCTAAATTCCATTCCAATTTTTCCTTATCTGATTTTCAAATGCCTAATTCTTCTGCTGATCTTTAACTTTATTTCTTGAGTATTTCTCCAAAGACTAGCAGCAAGCATGTAACACTGAATTTAGCCATCACCAAACACTCACTTTTTTGTGCCACCTAGGAACAGGTCAGGTTGCCAATTAATAATCATATTCATACAAGTATTTCAGTCATGCCTATTTTTAAAAGTTCACCGTAACTAATTATATCTTTAAATCATTCCATAAAGTTACTCTTTTAGACTGAATTATGGGACCATGGGGGGAGGGTTAATTCTTACAGTCCCCCTTACAACCTGTTCTTGGCAGCACTAACAGTGTGATGCAAGTGGCATTTTTTAAGCCAGGTACTTTATTGATTACTGAGGTCACAGGCAGCATTTTCTCCTATACGCCTTCTGTTGCAGAACTGCATCTCTACATGCAGGTCATATATGCAGCACGGATCCTGCAGCTGCGATACAGAACGCCGGGTTATCTCAAAGATCCCGAGAGTTAAATAGGGGCGTAAACCACAAAATCAACACAGTAACACTCAAACGACAGCAAAGCTTTAATATATATATAAAAAAATAGGAATGCTAGGAAAAAAAATATAAAGGGAATTCTTGCAATAAAGCTCCCCAAGCCCCGCAGAGAGGCTGACGCGAGGGAGCGCAGGTGTGAGGGGCTGCAGAGCCGACAGCCGCGCTCCGCGTTTAATTTTGGCGCTAGAGCAGCGGCTCCGCTCGGCGAGCAGCACTTGGGCGCTGACGCTGAAGCACGAGACGATTGAAAAATGCTAGGAAAAAAAATATAAAGGGAATTCTTGCAATAAAGCTCCCCAAGCCCCGCAGAGAGGCTGACGCGAGGGAGCGCAGGTGTGAGGGGCTGCAGAGCCGACAGCCGCGCTCCGCGTTTAATTTTGGCGCTAGAGCAGCGGCTCCGCTCGGCGAGCAGCACTTGGGCGCTGACGCTGAAGCACGAGACGATTGAAAATATATATATATATGCATATACATATATATACAAAAAAAAAAATAGCGATC